ATTGTATTAGGTAGGGATCTCTAGAAGAATGGACTCAATGTATATTTATGTAAGGGATTTAGTAGTTAGGATTACCAGATCAGAGCAGGAAAGTCCACAATGGTCATCTGAGGAATCAGAGGTAGGGGAAGCCACAGGGGCTATCTATGGGGTCTGTGGGATCGAGAGTAGAAGAATCTTCAGTGGCTGTCTGCATGGTGGAGAGCTGGAGGATCAGCTCAGCCCATAATATGAAAGCCATAGAACAAGAGGGACTGAGCATGCAACACCACTCCAAAGTAGAAGGGCTGGAAACTCACTATAGAATCACCAGTGAGTGATGTGTTGGAAGGCTGAAGAGACTGAAGACTGTTGTCCAAAGGCAGCGGCAAAGACTAGAACTCTTGACAAACGGGGATTCTTCCTTCTTTCCTTTTTTATTCCGTCCTAGGGTACAAGACTATTATTTGGTGCCACCCACATCTGAGGTGGGTCCTTCTCCCTCAGTTTATTGGCCTACGTGTCAGTCATCCAGACACACCCAGAACTTCACTTTAGTCATCTGCTGGGCGCTTACTAATCCAGTCAAGCTGACACATCATGATTAAAGGTCACACTCATGCAGGACACTGGCAGGTGGATGAAGCCCCTTGGAACACACACACACACACACACACACACACACACACACACACACACCCCTGCCTGCCCCAGGTGTGCTAGTTAGAGACCAGTATAAAAGTGGTTAGAGAACATCCAGAAGAGCCCACTGTAGCTTTTTCTTGAAGTAAAATAAAGCTGCTTTCATCCACTCTGCCCAGGTGCTGGTGAGGCCTCTAAGGAAATCTGACAGATCATGTGGATTGGATGACTGCAGACTGTTTGTTGATCTTTGTTTGCAGGACTGCTTTTCATTTGGTGCAGACTTCTTTCCAAAATGGAATAAAACATTCCTAGATATTTTAACCTTCAGAAAGCTCATAATAAATATCTCAGTATTTATTGTTCTGTAAGGGTGTTGGTTCTGAATCAACACTGAACAAATTGGGGCAGTAGAGTGGTAGAATCCATCTTGTTCATCTGATGACCTTTCACATAAGAACATAGGATTGTTATTTTTCCCCCTTAGCTCTCTCTCTCTCTCTTTTTGTACCTCTTACCTTTTGCCCTTTATTTTCCATTTAAAAAGTAATTTGCAGGCTCAGCGTCTTATATCCAGTGCTGTAGGCTCAATGCCAAGTGGAAAGTAGAACTCTATCCTTCCAAACTAATGAATTTCCCAGGGAAAACGTATCCATTGTTTTAGGTAAGAGGATTAACCAGAACCATGGGTACTTCAGCAGTGCTGGGACAGCATAGAAGATATGAAAGGAATATTTCTTAAGAAAGACACCACTCTGTGTTCTTTTTGCCATGTAGCTCTTCCTCCTCTGCTAGTCAGCCAGTGGCAGGTGGTGCCAGCTCTGTGGTCAGATTCCCTGGCTGTTACATCCCTGCTCTGGCTCTGGCCATATTAACCTTGAAAAGGTTGCTTACTCTTTTGGGCCTCAGTATCCTGGTCAGTGAAATCATAAATTGTAGTATATAATCTGAACACTTATGCTGTGATAAGTGAGATGACATGTAAAGCATAGTGTTTATCCATAAAAATGAGTTGATAAATGCAAATCAGTGTTTTTTCTCTATATACAAGAGGAGGTGCTGTAGAGGTTAAATAGAGACTATTGTTTCCCATTGGCTGTATGAAAGGTGACAGAAACTGTGCACAGTGCTCTAGAAGTTCAAAGAAAACAGCATAGAATCCAGCAGAGAGGTGGCTACTGGCCACAGCCTGCAGATTGTACATGGCCTGTGGCTTGCTCAGGTTCCTGCTGGTGTATCACCATAACCCTTGGTCCACCTAAATGCATCCTCTAGCCCCCCCCCATGACTTCCTTGCCATTTATGCCACCAGGCTTGATTATGACACCACCTGGATTTGATGTGCTTCTTTTCAAAGTGCTCTTATGGCTCTTACTTCATTTAATCTTGCAAGAGTAAGATGAGGTCCAGGGAATAGTAGATAACTTTCCAGGATCTTGAGGCTGACAAAGCCTGATCATCTTGCCATTTCTCAGACATAATATATCCGATGAGCCTTTACAAAATACTGTAACTCAAAGCAGAGCACCAGGCGCATCAGCACTGCTTTAGTTACAGCACAGGTCTCTTCTGTGATGCCACTTCCTCTCCAGAAGAAACATTTCCCAGCCTCTTTCTTAAATCCCATGGCAGGCCAGGGATTTAGCTCAGTGGTTCTGCTACCTGCTTTGCAAGTGCAAGGTCCCAGGTTTGATCCCCAGTACCAAAAATGCCTAAAACAAACAAACAAAAAAAACCCATGGTCACCTCTTCCCAGATTGAGAACTTTAGCCTTGGAGCCAAGAAGGCTGGGTCTAGTCTCAGCTACACCCCAAGAGTCACGTGACCTTGCATGATTCCAAGGCCTCACTGTGGACTGCCTGTTCCCCTCTGTGCAATGAGTGGGCTACTCTGAGTATTCAAGTCTCACTGTGTTTCCCCCAGATGTAAACATCCAGTACATTCCTTTGTAGACTTCATTAGGTGGCCTACTTGCCTACACCTTAGCTATAACTTGACCCCTTCTCTGGAACCCAGGAAATAACCTTGACTCTGTTCTGAGTTATCAGGAAAGTACATAGCACATGAGATGTAATGCTTTTCCTGGTGTCAGATGATTTGAACCCCTCACAGTGAATGTGCTGGGGCCTGGGGTTGGGAGCCTCCGCTGGAGCTCTTCCATCTGTGCTGCCACAGCCCACAGCCTGTCTAAAGGGTTCTGATTTAGCAAGCTCAAAGTACACGGATCCTGGAGTCATTTAAACGTTGCACAACTTTGGTCTTTTGAGTTGGAAAACAAAGCAAAACACTGTGTGAACACAGAGGCACTTAGGTGAGAAATGAAGACCATTTTCATTCTGTGAGTCTCAAGTTCATTCCTCATTTCCATCGTGTGTGTAGCATTGGATCTGCACATTTCTAAACTGCGTTAGAAAATAGACAGCTTGGGCCAGGCATGGTAGTACACACCTGTAATCCCAGCCCTTGGGAGGCTGAGGCAGGAGGATTGCTGTGAGTTCAAGGCCAGCCTGAACTTAATAACAAGCACCTGTCTTGAAAAAGAAAAACAGAAGTAGCTTGATTTATTTTAAGTCTAACTCTGCCAGAAAACCCAGGAATGAAACAACCTCCTTCCCATCCCCATGTTTCTTCTCAGTCTTCTGATTTTATTACTAATGAACTTGTGACCAGACAGATTCCTGAAATGCAGCCCTTTCTCAAAGTATGGCGAGGGTCCCTGGGTTGATACTGTTTCCAAGATTTGTTTTAGCTGGAATGCTTAGATGCTGTGGATCTTTGAAGAAAAGGGTCAGGGGAGTGAGGATCATGACCACCAGGTTATATCCACTTTTGAACTGGGTTGATCCCTTAAGCCATGCATTTGAGACCAGCCTGGGCCATATAGCAAGACCCTCATCTTTAAAAAACAAAAAAAAACAGTGTCCACTGTGACCATCATTAACCAGCCCCTAACTTTTCTGTCTGGTCCTGTGGTTCAAAGCATTGTCACTGGGGGGGAGTAGGATTTGAGACTTTAAGCAAATGTTTCCACTGGCTCCCTTCCTGCCTCAGTGCTGTCCTGCCGCAAGTCAGAGTTTTCCAAACAGATTAGCAAGGCAGCCATGTGAGGGACACTGGAGAAGGTGTGAACTCCAAAGTCCCTCCTCTGTCCTAGGACTAGCAACAGTCAAGTAAGCTCCTTGCCTTTTATCTGCTTCATAAGAAATGTTGCAGACAGTCATTACCAGCACCAAATAAAACCATGTATGAAAATTTTCACTAAAAATTAGTAAATGAAATCTTCCCACAGTAGTTTTAGATGTTTTGTCTTAGGAAAGTCCAAGTAGGGTAGGGATTGTAGTCACAAAGACAGAAGCTGTGATGTGCACAAATTGACACAGGTAAATCTGTAGCTTTTCAATGGCAGTGGATCTTTTTTGGTAGAATTCATATGGAAAAGGATTGACCCGTTTGAAAATCATGTCAACAAAAGTAAAATGGAAAAGATTGAAAACAGTTCATCTGGCCAAGTGTGGCAGTACACACCTGTGGCCCCAGCACTTGGAAGGCTGAGGCAGTAGCTCACCACCAGGTCAAGGCCAGCCTGGGCTCTGTCTGGGGAAAAAAAAGAGTTCATCTGTATTATATTTTAAAAAATAGAACAAAGGATTACATTTGCTTAATAGAAACTGAGGAATCTCAACCAGTACTAATTCGATGCTGAGGAAACTTTGGTGTGTAAGCAGTCTAAACTTCCCTGGGAATAAAACCACAGAGCACTGTACCTGGTGTTCACCTGGCACCAGGAGGCAGCTTAGTGGCATTTGGGAGCGTCCTGGCTGGCAGGCCACCCCACTGCTTACGCGCTTCTCAAAGCCAGATGCCTAAGCCACAGGGGAGGCAAAGGGTGCTGGGTGGGTGAGGGATGGAGATGCTACCGGGGTGAGTGGGTGAGGAGGTGGAGCAGGGTGAGGGGTGGAGGTGTTGATGGCTGTACTGATTCCTCCCAAGGGTGATCCTGCCAGGTGGTGTGAAGGTGGTGAGCGAGAAGGACATTAAACTATCATTCAAAGACAGATTACTCAGCTGCTATAATCTGCTGCCTCCCTATTCCTAAACACCATTAACAAAGGATCTAAAAGAAAATTAAACTCAAATCCGGTGTAAATGACCTCTGTTAAACGATTACTGTGGGTATACTACAGGGAAAGCCTGAGTGAAAGCTGGGAGCCAAAGACTGACCAAAAAGACACAATTTGGATGGCTTTGTGAAGGATGAGAGGGTCTAGGGTCTATCAGAATTGTCCTTGTCTCTTTGAGCATGTCCACACCTGTTATGGCTATTCTGGTTTTGAAGACCACAATTTCATTCAATTTTTTTTTTTTTTTTTGTCTTTCAGGTTTCAAGTGCCCCATTTGCTCCAAGTCTGTGGCTTCCGATGAGATGGAAATGCACTTTATAATGTGTCTGAGCAAACCTCGCCTCTCCTACAATGGTAAGGGCTAGCCCTGTCCTAGCTGCCTCCTGAGCTCACTGGGGAGCTGGCCAGGTCTAGGGGGAGCGTCTGATTGGTGCAGACACCCGTGGATTGATGAGGAACCTTGAGTGCACATGTTCCACGGGACCGTGAATGTAAGTGGAGGAGGCGGAGGAGTGGGCTGAGAAAGCAGGCCCAGGGTCAGGTCCTCAGTCTTCTGCCTCCCCATTTCTGTGGACCTTGGTTGAGAGACATGGCCGTCCCCTCACTTTTCATGTGCCTGCTTGTGTTGGCCTCCAGAGCCACCAGACAGTGGACTGTCCATCCGTGATGAGAGCCAGCCTTGTGCTGTGGTGCCCACAGTACTGAGAAGGCTGGTCATCTCCTTGCTTTACAACTCAGCTGAGCACCTGACTGAGCCCTCGACACATGGCCTCATTGCCCCACTAGGGCTACCTTGGAGGAGCCTCAGAACTGAACAGTGAGTGACGCTGGGGCCCAGGGATTCTGTGACACCCAAGCCACCCTGACACGGCATCTCAGGGACAAAATAAGTGTCCGCATCTACCTAGTATGCTGTGAGTAAGGATTGGAGTCAGCCTCATCTGAGCTCAAATCTTCCTGTCCCACTTGCACACTGTGATCTCAAGGCAAATGCCCAGTTTAGTAGAGCCTCAGTTTTCTGAGCCCCCACATGGAGACAGCAGTCCCTGGTTCATGGGATGTTCCAAACTAAGTGATTGCAGAGCGTGCATGTGGTCAGCACTCAGGAAGCTGGAAGAGGTGAGGCCCTCTGTAGTCCTGTGTTGGTGGTTTTCCAGATGGAGTGACAGGGTGGCTCAGCCTGTGCTGCTGGGGGCTCTCTGGTTTTCCATTCCTATGTTTAGCCTGATCTCCGAACCCTGCTTATAGAGAACCCCTTGTCCATTACGTCGACAGGTAGTAGATCCGAGGGCCTTTGTCCAGCCCCCCAGTGGGCCCGGCTTCTTGCATTACAGTAAGAGCAGAGACTCAGAAAAGAGTTCTAGGGTTCTGAGTCTGAGGACTCATTTACCTGACAGTGAGTGTCTCCTGGGCCACTCTCCTCATACAAACGTGGCCTTGCCACACGCGCCGGCATCCGCCGAGCGGGGGCTCATTATTCTGAAGTGATCCTGGGGTATAAATCTTATGAATCGATCTACTCTGTTCTCCTAAAAAACACATTTTACCACAAGTTGAATATCTTCTATCTGAAATGCTTGTGACTAGAAGTGTTTCAGATTTGGGAATAATGGCCTAGATGTTACTACCAGTTGAGCATTTCTAATTTGAAAATCTGGAACTTCCGTGAGTGTTATATCACCACCCAAAAAGTTTCAGGGACTGAGAGTTTAGATTAATGGTAGAGTGCTTGACTAGCATGTGCAAGATAAACTCATGCTATTGGGTTTACCCTCCAGGGCCCAAAAATAAATAAACTTTAAAACAATAAATGAATAACATCCGGTACCCAAACATAAATAAATCAATAAACAAATAAGACATTGCTATTTCAAAGCATTTTAGGTTTTCAGATTAGGGCTGCTTAACCCCTACTCTTGTATCTCTTACTTGCATCTCTTACTTGGCCAAAAGCTTCCATTTGAGAGCAGGTATTGTTACCCACCTGTCTCAACTACCTGCAGTCTGATAATCTCTGCTCAGGTTGGAGGACCTGCACAAGGCAGGTTATGGCTTGTCTCTGCCCCCAGTGTTTCCTTCCCTTTTATATCTTGCTTGGTGTCCAGAAGCCCCTTTCCTCCCAAGGGACTGACAGCCACATGCCCCTGGATCTGTTGTCACATGTGCGCCATGCTTCCTGTGCTCAAGCTCAGCTTTGTCCCTGTTGGCCATCTGTGCCTGGGACCGTGGAGGGAAAGTCATCTTCCCTGTGACTCACGGCCCTCCCCAACGATGGCCTCAAATGATGCATTCACTTCTATCCCATGTGTGTCAGTACCTCATGAAGACCTTTTTGTCCTGGGGGTTGCTGGGAGTGCACTCTGTAGACACTGCCTTGCTGTCATACAACACAAAGATGCCTCAGAGGGGGTTTGGCCTGAGAGAACTTGCTGCTGGGAGTCATCAGGGAGAAGTTGAGATGAGCAGCTGTGAGGGCAAAGTACTCTTGGGGCCTCTCTGAGTCAGGAGTCAGCACACACAGCCCCACGAAGAATGGGGAAGGTGAGAATCTCCAGCTCCTCTCCCAGCGAACATCCCCTGGTGTCCCCAGATCCTCTTGTCTGGTGCTGCTCCTCTGTCTTCTCCACACCAGCAGCCTGGGGAAGGGGCCTGTAAAGGAAGGGCAAATGGCAGCTGGAGGCACAGCACTGTTGTTCTTGTGCTACTTCTTGTTTCTCCCTCATCCTGTAGTTGAGGCCATCTCTGCCAGGTGCATGTGTGTGTGTGTGTGTGTGCGTGCGTGCGTGTGTGTGTAAGCTAGCATCTTTAAACTGTCAGGCTCTTACGGAAGGTGGACCTTTACCACCAGAGGCAGAGGCCAATTGCTTCTAGTCCTGTGAGTGGCATTTGAGACCTCTGTACACGAGGAGGCTTTGCTGGCGCAGACTCCTCACGCTCAGTCCTTGTCTTTTCTGAAGATGCTTAGACTTCTAGGTAAGGAAGGGAACAACATTCCCCACATGGGTTTGTGTGTGGAGTAGAATCACCCAGGCAGGCACAGAGCATGTTCCAGTTCAGATAAAGGGCAAGCCTGTCAGGACCACAGGTTGGAACTTCCAAAGCGAGAGCCCTGAGTTTATTTTGGTTTTGCCAGTAACATGTTCTGCCCACAATTTCTCATCATCCCAATCTC